TTACTACTAGTAAGGCCAGGAGCCCCTAGTAGCTTCTTGCTCCTAGTAGCGTGGCACTTGTTTCTAATAGCTTCTTGTTACTACTAGTAAGGCACCTGTTACTACTAGCGTGGCACTTGTTACTAGTTCTCTCCTCCAACCTGAGAAATGACGATGACAACACCTCTGAAGAAGCTCCTAGTAGCGTCCTTTTCTCCTAGTAAGGCCAGGAGCCCCTAGTAGCGTCCGTCCTAAGAAATGATAAGAATGATGACAAACTCTTTTCACATTTGTTATTGTGGGATGGGACGTGATAGTATGCGTTGTAATCATGAAGCCTAATAATGCCTCACCCTCTTCTGTGTACCGCAAAGCCCCATACCTGCAACCGAGGAGAAGATTAGTAGATATTGGTAGCTTCTTGCTACTAGTAGCGATGGCCACCACCGAATAGCGTCCTTGCGACCACAGTGCTTTGTGTTTGAAGGACCTGAGCCAGTACACGGAGATCCGGTGCCCTGGTCGCCGAGTCATGTAGAGAGTGAAGCAGAGACGTTTCGGATGTAGAGAGTGAAGCAAATGCACATGACAGCAACAATACATGTTGAAATCAGTGACAGTTAGGTTGTTGTTTGTCGTGATCCAAGGACCTTGTGCTTGGCGAAAGTCCCGCCCAAATTGCCTCCAGCCATTGCTAGCCTCAAGAGGTGGCTCTGTGCCATGTCGGTCGGAGAAGCAACGTCGCTCAGAGTTTCTCTTCCCGGTCTCGGATGCCTTGTTCCAGCGAATGAAATAGAGCTAATGCTTTGGCATCCTTTCGCCTTTGACAGTATAGTAGCCTACTGTAGGCTTTAAACTAAAGCAGCCGCGCAGCAGCACCATTACGACGCGTCCAGTGTTCGCGAGGTGTCCAGAAGTGCATCTGGAAGAACGTGCAAGGCATCGGCGCCGAGCTTCTCCCCGAGCTTCTTGTTACTACAGGTGAAACGATTCACAGGGAAACCATTCCCAAGGAAGCTTCTAGTTCCTAGTAGCTTCTTGTTCCTAGTAGTAGTGCCAGGAGCTACTAGTAGCGTCCTTGCTCCTAGTAGTAATGCCCTTTGCTACTGGTGGCTTCTTGTTCTTAGTAGCGATGGCCTCCACCTACTAGCGTCCTTGTGAGCTGAAATAGATAGTGCCTGGTGAGTCACAACACAAGATGGTGTGCGTAAGCGCTGCACCCTTTTGCCTTGCTCGGAAGCCAATTCACTATCAATCTTTGCCGGATTAACCCAAAAGTTGCATTCTCAAAGTACGACTGCCAAGCCACTTTGAGAACTTTTGTCCCAATCCAAGACTTCCCAACATCCATTTCCTGTGGGACACCCTGGTGTGTCTTTGTTTTCGGGCCCTTCACAAACCGCATCCTACACGTGGGTGGAGGCCATCGCTATTAGGTTGGAGGCATCGCTGGTAGGTGGAGGCCATCACTAGTAGGTGGAGGTCGCAATTAGGTTGGAGGCCATCGCTAGTAGATGGAAGGCCATCGCGAGTAGGTTGGAGGCCATCGCTAGTAGGTTGCAGGCCAACGCTATTAGGTTGGAGGCCATCGCTTGTACGTTGGAGGCCATCGCTATTAGGCTGGAGGCTATCGCTTGTAGGTTGGAGGCGCTGTGGTTGGAGGCCAACGCTAGTAGATTGGAGGCCATCGCGATTGGGTTGGAGGCCATCGCTATTGGGTTGGAGGCCATCGCTAGGTTGGAGGCAATCGCTATTAGAGCGCAGGTCCATGTTGCAGCGGCTCTTCCGGCGGATCCGACCTACAGAGTGGCACCAACTTGAACAGGGTGCTGAGGACCTCAGCTGTTGTCGGGATTGATCTTCACAGAGTTTTCAATCTGGACATGTTTCAAGTTTTCCATACCAAAGATATCCAAAGATAGAACCCTGCTTCGCTAGAAACCATACCCATTCAGTTCAGCAGGTGACCCCATTCGAGTGAAGTGCGATGCCCAATGGAGCTTCCCGAAGCCCACAAATCTCCAAAGACTATGACTAGCTCAATGTGCTACTAGCAGGAGTAAGGCGCCTGGCTACTAGTAGCGTTCTTGCTACTAGTAGCGATGCACTTTGCTACTAGTTGTGTTCGTGCCCCGGCTTGGAAGCGGGAAGCTTTGCGGAATCGACAGACTCCACTCTATGGAATTGCCTGAGCCAGTGTGGCTCAAACGCCAGATTTCGGATCCGTCACGGACAAGCCTCTCATGAGCAATTGCAGAGAACGCTAGAAAAAGTTGCCGCGGATTTGTTGCCAACGCGGAGATGGTTGCGTGACTCACAACATGATCAAACACATAACGGGGAAGCTATGGGTGACTTGGACGTGCAATGTCTTAAACCTCTCCAAGACAAACGGGTTGGTGCCATAGCTTTGAGGAAATTACACCTCAATTAGTTGGGAATTTATTTGTTTGGGGAGCGTGTGCCTCAGACCCATGGGCTTCAAGACATTCACAAGACTAGACCCAGACGGCAGACTTTGCGATAGACATTTTAAAGAGGCCTTGAACCACTAGAGTTCGTTGATAGGTTTTGGGTCTTGAAGAGATTTGATGTGTTCGATCTATCGGAAAGGTTGTCCAACATCTCCAGATATTCCTTCGAAGTTGTACTTGGCCGAAACCCTTGACGAGGTTAGACCGGCGACTTTATCGTCATTGTGAAAAAAGGCTGATGAGGATGGTGAAGTTGGAGAGGCCCAACGCACGGAGTTCAAGGTGAGCTATGACATGGAATTCAGAAGATTCCTGATGAATCCTGATGGATAGTTTGGTCTGCAAAAGAAATGAGCGCCGAAGACCCAAAGCAATCGTACAAACCCTGGGTAGCTCATTGGATTTGAAGCACCCCGGCTGCCAGATGCTGAAGGCATCAAAGGTAGAGCGGTAGGGCCCCTTGAGTATTACCACTGCTGAATAAAAAAGTAAGAATGAGACCTGACTGACAGAGTAAAACTAAGCTGTTGGCCGACTGGGAAAGACAGTTCGGGCATGACCATTTTCCAGGATGTTAACACGTTTTCCTTCCCCCCATGTTGCAAAGGCTTTACTTTTTAGTGAAACAAACTTGTTTGTGCAGTGAAAACTGCAGGGAGTTAACGCGTTAGGGAGGATTCTTGAGTTTATGCTTTGCTTGGATAACATGTCCTCTCAAGAGACCCCCCAGGGCGTATTAGGTTGCGCCCAATGGTTCTTGAAGTCTTGCTGCTGGTCACCCTTTTTGCTGGGAGTGGGAGTCGTGGCACTGTGGGTGCGCCGGGGTCCCCTTCAGCCCCCTTTGAGCGCATGCATTGGGCCCTCTGCGCTCGCAGCCTTGCAGTGGGATTGGCATTGATCGTGATCGATCATGGCTCGCATTCGGGCCCATTGTCATTGCAGCGAGGCCGTGTGGCGTGCGGTGGATCAAGCACTTGGTGGTGCGGCCACCCCCACACTGTTTGCCATGTTGCCTGCCTCCACTCTGAGGCAGGCCCTGCGGACGGTGCGTGTCGGAGCCGACGCCAACTGAAGGGAGTTGCGCGCGATGGAAATGATCCATGTCGCGTATATGTGGAGGGTGTCCAGGCAATCCCTCATGATGACAGACGTGAATCCACTTGCAGACCCTGCTCCACCACCAGCAGCTGCTCCAGCTGGCCCAGCCCCTGCTGTGGCCTCACCTTCAAAGAAGGTCAAAGATCAGATGGACGACACCTTTCAGGAGGGCCACGCAGAAGCAGTTGAAGACAAGGTCGTGGTTGCTTGGAGGACGGCGCGTTCAAAGCATTGGGAAAGGCTTGCTGGAAGGTGTTTCGTGCAATCCTCTTCATGCTGAGATACCCACCAGCCGCTGCAGGAGCAGAACATCTTCGAGTTGTCGCCTCAGCATGCCTGGAGGAATACTACGACCGTGTGGCCAAGCTGAATCAGGACTTCCATGGCACTTGATCATGAAGGCCACGGACAAATGCAGGTCAGATTCAGATGTTCGAGAGGTATCGAAGGCACCTCACCAAGGCGGCAGCGGACAATCGTCTTCCGATGGGACTGGACTTCCCGCCCAATAACCATGGATTGGGGTCTTCACCTATGCGGCACGGAACCGCGAGTTCTGGAACGAACGTGTGATCGGGCCTGCGACTATTTTCATCGCCAGGAAGGTCGAAACATCACGGTCAACATCCCACCTCCGGCGAAAGTCGCTTTGGGCCTGGACGACGAAGGAAGTGGCCGAAAGAAGAGGCCGAAGAAGCCAAAGAAGGAGACATCGTCTCAGCCAAGCGGAGGAGGCGGAGAAGGTGCAGACCATCCTCAAAAGTGGGGCAAGCAGTTCATTACCGCATCCGAGGGCCACGAACTATGTTTCCGGTATGCCAAGGGCAAGCCGCGGGACTGCCCAGACCTCTGCAAGGAGGGCAGAGTTCATGGGGCAGCGCCCGGGCTCTCAATGCGCGGAGAAACCATCAGGCAAGGCAAAGGGCAAGGGCAAGAACAAGAACAAGAACAAGAACTAACAGGCCAAGGAGAAGCTGAATGAATCAAAGCCCGGCCAACGAGAAGTCCATGGATGTCGGAACAAGGCAGGCCGAACCCTCTGCAAAGTGAAAGGAGTCGATGGACAGCGCGCCCTGGAAGTCGACCAACGACAAGAAGTTCGGGGAGCCAGACAGCACGCGCAAGTACAGATTCCTGGAATATAGGGGGCCGTACTGAGTGGATAAAATTGCAGGGGTCATTGCCTGGACTTTATCTGTGTGCCAGCCTGCCAGCGGGGTCTGTCCTCCAAAAAAATCAGCCCAAGTAAGGAGTGGATATTTTTTGGGGGGGGGTGGATAAAATGGGGTCAGTGCATCAAAAATATCCAGAATAAACGCTCCAATTTTATCCACTCGGTAGTGGGAGTAGAAAAGGAAAGAAAAGATAGAACATCGCTCGTTGGACGTTCGTTAGGTTTCCGCTCGTTAGATTTTCCGAGCTCCATGGACGTCATGATCACAGAGAACCAAAAAATTGTCAGCGAAACTTGCCAACGGAACGTCAAAGCATCAGTCACCGCGGGCTTTCAACTGCTCCAACAGCTGGAAGCACTCTTGGTCAGCACCTTTCAGCCCTGGATCATTCTCAGTGGACCCTGTGTTTCGACTTGAGGAGTCTGAAAAATAGTGCTGGGGCCTCATACTCATCCAGGTTCATGTTAGAGTCTTCCTCATCGGGATCCTGTGCCAGGTCTTCCATGAGATTCGCAGCCTGTGAAAAGGACACGTGTGAAACATGTGCGTCCTAAAAACAACCTTGATATTTTCCTTGGTACTGAGGTTGGGGAGATATACAAATGACAAGTTGTGGGATACGCTGAAATTAATCTTCTTCTGCTGCTTCTGCTAGGTCTGGAGAGCTTTCTATCAAAACTGCTCAACGGCAGCGAATATAGAAAAAAAAAGTGCGCTGACATCTGGACAAAACAATTTCAATGCAGAAGTTCCGTTCAACAAAGAAGCTGCTTCCCAGTCGCTCTGGGCATGGTAGCCCTGATAAACTCCTGCTGGCATTCCTAAGTCCAGAGCGGCTGTCAAGGCCACAAAATACCGACCAAAATGTACAGTTCGACCAGCACTGCTGGCCATGCAGCCGACATTCTTTTGCAAGTGGTTGGATCCATTGATTCCAAACCAACCTCAACCACAACCAACCTTCTAAGGTTTGCAGACTTCCGCAACAATCCTTAGTTTTGCAGACCACCACAGAGCACATAGAGCGTTGGAAAAGAACCTGGGCCTGGGATCTTTTCTTTTTGTCTCGTTTGTCGATTAGCATCTACTTTTGGGGGGGGTTCCTCGATCCTATTCGTCTAGCTTGCTAACCTCAGGCCTTCTCAAAATTATCTATCTGCACTGGTTGTGTACTTCTTTTTTTTTGGGCCCTCTGGCCTTCAAATTTATCCACCGGTTTTGGCTAAAAACCCGTCGGTCCCTGGAAATTATCCGGTACTGACCCCGGACGCCAGTACAACGGGGTATCTGGAATTGTTCGCAGGCAAAGCTGGCCTGTCACGAGAGATCGAAAGACTTTGCGGAAATTTCGTGGAGGTCATGCGACCTCTGGATGTGATGGAAGACTGGGACATTCTGACAGAAGAGGGCTTCGAGAAAGCGAAGTCCGCGCACACCACACCCACCTGGCCGTCCCTCACGAGCTCGAAGAGCAGATGGACATGGGTCAGTGCCTGTGATTCGATTGGACGATCGACCGGAAGGCTGGGGGCACTCCACGGCAGAAGAGGGAAACCGCGTCCTCGAGAGAGTGATCGCCCTGATCTACTTGATAGAGGAGGCGGGCAAAACGTGGTCCCTGCAGAATGTCATATGCCTGGGAACAGCCGAAGATGAAGAAGATCCTGAAGAGGCCAGGTGTACTCAACATGGAGTTGGACCAATGCGCACACCAAGAAGAACACCAGGATAGTGACCACATCGCCGTGGATGGCAAGAGCGCTTCCATCTCGCAGGTTGAGGAGTGGGTGTGGAAGACCTCGACTCAGGCACTGCAAACATGGCTAGAAAGTCTACAAGTTACGAATGGCTGGCAGCAAGAACTATGATCCACACCAAAGCCAACCAGCTTGTCTCCTTCTGAAGAGCAAGTTAGAGGTGCTGAAGAGCAAGCGAGACGAGCTGGCGGCACACAAGGAGAAGATCAAGGAGACCAAGACGGAAGAGAAAGCATCGCACGTGCCACTCAGCGCTTGCAAGAGAACTTTCCCGCAGTGGGGGGCCTTCGAGACCCTTGCAAAGCTGTGGCATGTAGCAAGGCCCTGAGG